ACTGTGGTCCCCCGGGTCCCTTTCCAGGGCGATGAGACCCCGGTCCCTTTCCAGGAAAGCAGCCAGCTCCGTCCCCTGAGACCCGGAGTCGAGTTCTGGCCTCCTACCTGAAGAAAACCTTTAGGAAGCCCCGCAGGCCGCCGTGGCCGGTGACCTGGTGCAGTCCGCGCCTCAGGACCTGCAGCAACTCCATTTTCTTTTCCATGTCCCGCCTCTCGGTGCTCCCGGCAAAACCCGCCGGGCCGCTCACACAAGAAACCACCGGCTGGAGGTTCCCGAGCCGGACGAAGCCGGTAGGTCGCTGTGCGCACGCGCAAAGCTGGCGCTAGCTGGGAGGAAGGAGGGATTTCACTGCAGGCTCGAGCCTGCTGACCTCCAGAAGGTGAAGAGTTTAAAGGTTTTCAGAGGATGTCTGTGAGTTCGAGACCAGTCTGGTCTACAAGAGCTAGTTCCAGGACAGCCTCCAAAGCCACACAGAAACCCTGTCTTGAAAAACCAAAATAAATAAATAAATAAATAAATAAATGAACCAGACCAATCCTACTCCAAGTGTTGTATAAAGTAAAAGGGAAAGAACTGCGATTAAACTCATTTAAGAAAGCCAGCATTATCCCACTACCAAAGCTAAGTAAAGCCACTTCACAAAACCCCATAGAACAAAAATTCTCAACAGAAGCCTTGCAGACGGAATTCAAGAACACATTGAGACTACACACCATGACAAACCTGGTTGGCTGTAAGTACGGTTCGACATACACAAATCAATAAATAAAATACAACAAAAAAGGAAGGGCCTTAAGGACAGAAATCACAAGATTACATCGTCTTTAATAAAGTTCAGCATTGTTTCATTTAAAGCCATGAAAAAAACTTGGAATAAAAGGAACATAACCTCAATATAGAAAATATTGGTTATGACAAACCTTTAGTCAACATTGTACCAAAGGTAGAAAAATGGAAAATATTCCCCCTAAAAACATGAACAAGACAAGGATGCTCACTCTCTCTGCTCTTATTCAATATGATGCTCAAAATTTTAGCTAGAGAAACAGTCGAGAAAAAGAAGAGAGATACAAATGGGAAAGAAATTTTAAGATCCCTATTTGCAGTTGATGTGATCCTATACTTAAAAGATCCTAGATTCCACAAGAAATTGTTAGATCAAACAGATACTTTCAGAAAAAGCAAGGTACAAAATTAGGATACAAAAATCAGTAGGTTCTGTCTATACCAATAACAAACTTGTTGAGAAAGAAATCAGTAAAACCATCCCATTCATGAGAAAGACCTCTAGAATGAACATTTTAAGACCCTGAGGCAAGAAAGTGAAGAAGGAACTAGGATGATGAAGTGATGTTCCATGCTCATGGAGTGGCAGTCAATACTGCTTACATAATCCTTTTCCTTCTTCATATATTAACCACAGATACCACCCCCATCAGCTATTTGGTTCCTGAAATAATACAGTCCATATATAAAAGTCAGAGAAGTGCTTGATTCTCTTCCTTAGCAGTTTGAAAAGAACAATTTGGGGCTACAGTAAACTCTCTCCCTCTGTCTGTCTGTCTGTCTGTCTGTCTGTCTGTC